GGAAACATACCATCATATTCACTTTAATTACTAAAATTAAAAACATAAATTTTACAAATGCTCTAGAGCATAAGATGCATCACCTAGCCCAGTGGAAACTGATGATTCACTGTTAGAAGTAAAATTAATATGCCAGAAAAAAACACAGGTTAAAAAGTTAAAAGTATAGGGACTACCAGTTGGCATAATCGCTACATCGCTGGACTCCCATGTAGTCAACCGCGGTTTGAGTCCCAGACCCGGTGGCTTAAACTCACACCAGGCATGTGTGTGCGTGCCCAAAATCCCAAGAGAAGAAAGGAGGAGAAGGGATTGTGGCACAGCCATCCCCCCCGGAAGGTGATTTCTCGCTTTCTGTCTCTCTGTCTCTATCTCTTTCTGGCGAGCACACACACCCTATAGCAAAAACCTCTCAAAAAAAAAAGTTAAAGTATAGAAAATCAACTAAACACTAAATAAACTAAATGAAACTTTTATGATATTCTGAAGGTAATCTGTTACAAGTCATGATAAATATTAAATAGTTCCTGAAATATGAAAAACCACCTTTCTTAAAGACATAGACATGAAAAAAGGTTATCATTGACTGTGAGTTAGTGGAAGTTTACTTCTGTCTAACATAGAAATGGTTATTAGAGGAGCAGGGGTGTTAATGGCTACAGAATCATAGTGAGAGGAAAAAATTAACTGAATATTATAGAAAATCAAAGAATTGTAGCCGTAAGAGTGACGCTGTTTAATAGGAGAGGAAACTACACCCAGTTAGAAAGGAGAGGGGGCTGTTCCTTCCCAGTAGGACTCTGGAGTCCTGAACTTAGAGACTCCTTTATGGCCCCATACAACTCCCCCAGAAGGATTCAGTTTAGGTGTTTTTCTCTTCTTCTGGAGATAGAAATGGTATTTCAACTCAGAAGGCATTTCTGTTAAGATAAGATATAGAAAGCTGTATGAAGTATGTACAAGTCTGAAAATACATAGTTTGGTTTTGTGGTTGGTTAAGAAGCTGTGAGGATGGGAAGCTGTAGAGGATAGGATAGAAAGGGAAGGAAAGGAATAGAAAGAAGATAAGTTGTATGTGGGGGTAACAGACAGGGGAAAGTGACAGAGAAACTACAGAAAGAGAGGGGAGAACCACAGGCAGACCGAGAGGCAGGCAGAAAGGCTCTGTGAGTTTCAAAGGTACTGTTGCTCAGGGCTTATGCTTTGCAGTTTACTGGAATTATAGGCTTATTCTGAAAGCTTGATTAACTCTCTTAGCACTATTCACAGCTCTTTAACTGCTTAAGAACTTATGCCTTTGAGCCTGTACCCTTTATCAGGTAACAAGCAGAACATTCTGCCAAGGGAAAATTAAAAAAACAAAACAAAACACAGTAACAATAATCAGAGCAGTTCGTCTTTGTCTTAAGAAAATCAAATCAACAGGCCCTTCTCTCACCCTGTTTTTCTACCCCTGCTTTGAAGAAACAGCATTGGATTTCAGTCGGTCTTTTATTGTGGGATTTGTAATCAACACTGGATTTCTTATAATAGAATGTTCTTGATCAGTGAAGAAGATATTTTGAAATTTAAGTCTTGTGACCTTTCTTCACTTGAGCTACATACCCTACAAAAAGGAAAATTCACCCTACGTCATGTGGGTGGAATTATTTAAGACAAATGGTGACCTACCAGTGACTATGACAGAGTGTTTGCTTTTACTAATGACTTTTATAAGATAGCAAGTCACACCATGCCCTTGACTACAAACAAGATATTTGGGATCGCCTAGAGTTAGCGCTGTCTCTGGAAACCATTTATCTGATATAATCCATTTAAAATGGTTTATCTTCTTCACATTAGTGTAAGACATGGTATTCCAAAAAAGTACATTTATTTTACGTTTATTTGTATTGAAATTCGAAATGAATTAGTCTTACTGCTTATTGTTCACATGGACTGGACACATAAACTCTAGACTCCGTTGAGATGTCAGTGCACCTACCACTAAGTTATTTAGCGGAGTCTGGATATTCAGATTCACCATTGGAATTGCCCCATCTCTAATATTTTCAGCTTTTTGCCTGATCTTGATCTTGCTGCTCAGCGTTTTAGATATTCTCTATTTTGGGTTGTCAGAAGGGTCGTGATGTAATTTTTCTATGCAAAAATGCATCGTGACTGTTCTGATGACCCAGTAGTCCACTGTTACCTGGACACAAGACTCAGACATCGGCATCCTGGCACAGAGATACCGCTGTGAGTGCCTGTTGTGTGTGGGTCCAGTGCTCAGTGGAGAAAAGGTAGGACCCACAGTTCCAGGCCTGGGAAGCTGAGAATTCACTGGGGAAGACAGAACAGATGTGTAAAGAAAATAATGAAAATCTAGAATTTATTTAATAGATGGTGGCTAGCAGTTGGCATAAGGGCTATGTCGCTGGACTCCCATGTAGTTGACCGCGGTTTGATTCCCAGACCCGGTGGCTTAAATTCATGTTGGGCGCATGTGCGTGCATGCCCAAGATCCCCAGAGGAGAAAGGAGGAGAAGGGATTGCGGAGTGGCCATTCCTCCTGGGGGGTGATTTCTCGTTTTCTGTCTCTCTGTCTCTCTCTGTCTTTCTGGTGAGTGCATGCACCCTATAGCTAAAAACTCCAAAAAAAAAAAAATAGATGCTAACATTGCTTTTAATCTTAGTTTTTTTCAGTGATTGGAAACTATAGGGAGAAATATGACTATTATTATTCAATTCATGTGTATCTCTCTGTAATGAGCCCTTCACATAGACCACCTAATTTAATCACCATAATACTGCCTATGAAATAGATACTATTATCACTTTGTAGATTAAGAAATTGAAGAACAAAGAATTTAAATTACTTATCTGATCATTATTGATCTTTATTTTTGTAAAAATAGCCATATTTGTCATTTGTGATGAAAGTGTGTGTTTATATACTTAAAATATCCCATTATCTGTATAGTTGAAAAAAAACTCCCAATTCAAGTATGTTTGCTGGCCATATTTTAAATATTTCTTACATAGTCCATCTACACTTTTTCATAAACTTGACTTATATTCATTTGAGAAGATACTTGGCCTCCGGATGGAGAAATAAATTTAACTTACAGAATGGGGAAACTAGAAGCATGCAGAGATTGGTGTGTATCTTAAAAGGGAGTTCTAATTATAAGGGCCTCTTAAATCTAAAAGCTTTTCCATTTGGTCTAAGCCATTGACTGTGTGAAACATGGTGTTTTACATTAAAGGTGGTGTTTTGGATGAATTGCTTGAAGCTCCATGATTTTCTGCAAAAACATTATAGGGGCCAATAACCAAGAAGATGCTGGCTGCAGATCAGAATAATAGATCAACAAGAGAGAATACTAGAGCAGTAAATGATTTAAAGAATCAGTACACTGGACAGAAGAGCTGTGAAGCAAAAGAATACAAATGCACACATATACACAGTCTGACATGTGAGTGCCTGTTGTGTGTGGGTCCAGTGCTCAGTGGAGAAAAGGTAGGACCCACAGTCTGTAGGATACACAGTCTGACATGTACTATATGTATAGGACATGCAAAATAGATGCATTTTGGGTAGATGATCCCAATAACTTCATATAAGCTAGATACATTACTAAGGTAAGCTATCTTTTATTGTGGAAAACAGTTAAATAATTGATTACTTAACATGTGTTAACCCCTTATAATGTATAAGCACTGTGCTTGGTAATAGGGCTATAATAATTGAGAAAATGATCATTGTTCTTGAGAATTCTAAGCATACTGTGGGAAAAGGTGTTCTTGCAGTGGAATGGTGAAAGAGAAGAGACATTCACAGAGAGTTCCATGATCCCACAGGGATGGAAGGCATGCTGGAAGAGGTCACATCTGAGCTGAGTCTTGAAAAATAAGCAGTAGTTAATCAAAAGGAAATGGGAAAAGTGGAAGCCCTTCCAGGACACCGCGTGGAGAGGGCAGGAGTCTGAAACAGAATGGTGTGTACAGCCTAGGTCTGCTGAAATTCAGCGGTGAGGGAGAGAAGAGAATTGAGGGTACATCAGTGAACCAGATTTATTAGGGCTAACTAGACTCTGAAGTGCTGGTAGGACTTTATGCTTCCTGTGCAATGAGCCTTGGCAGGGTTTAAAGGCAACGTGAGGGGCAAGGTCAGATTTGCGTCTTATCAGATCATTTGGCTAACCATGTGGAGAATGGTTTTCAGGTGGACCAACTTGGAGTTTGGGAGCCAATGTAAGAGACTGCCGTAATAATGTGGTCAAGAGATGCTGAGGGTTTTAACTTGTATTTGGTAATGGGGACCAGATAACATTGAAGGAGGACTTAGCAATGTTTGGAAGATTAATTGGTAAGACCTGATGCTTATTTTTAGCCGTGGCTCCATCCATCGATCAGGATTTCTCCGAGTCTTCGCTTGAGCGATGGGTTATGGGAAGACTCAGTTTAAGATGGAAAATGAATAGAAACTACTTGAGCTGGTTGGAAGTGTGGTTGTTTTAGCTTAAGGTGTCTGGTTTATCTAGGAAGAATTGATTAGCACATGGATATTTCAACCTGTAGCTTGAGAAGGAGGTTCCTGGTGACAAGTTTGGGAGTTGTCACCTGTAAGTATATATAGTTAATTACACAACTGCTTCTGTATAATGCATCATTCTTTCCACCTTTCTTATATCTTTTTTAAAAAAGAATTATTTATTTAATTCCATTTATTATTATTATTTTTGAACTTGACCAGAGAGAGACAGAGAAAGGAAGGGAAAGCGAGAAAGCAAGCTGCCAGGTCCGGGACTGGAACCATGTGGAAATCTGTGCCTTTAACCACCACACCACCTGCTGTCCACCCCCCCCCCCTTCTTATACCTTAAAACAAAGACTGATATCTCCAAAACTCTGCAGTAATTAATATTATTCCTCCTGGTGTACAACAAAATGACCCCATAGACTAGAACCACCAGGGGAGCAATGCGAATAACCACATGGTCGTTGCTTTCTTCCAGCTGTGTCAGAGGAAATGCCCGCCCCGGAAGACTATTGCTTCAGCTGACGCGATTTATTTAAAGACCCTGGCTCTGCAGCTTTGTCCACTTCAAGATGGCAGAAAAGGTTCCCCCAGGCTTAAATAGGAAGGCTTCCAGGTCGACGCTTTCTCTTCCTCCAGAACCTGTGGACATTATCAGGAGCAAAACATGCTCGCGGAGAGTTAAAATCAACGTTGGGGGCCTGAACCACGAAGTCTTGTGGAGAACGTTGGACAGGTTGCCCAGAACACGCCTGGGGAAACTCCGAGACTGCAACACACACGAGAGCCTCCTGGAGGTGTGCGACGACTACAATCTGAACGAGAACGAGTACTTCTTTGATCGTCACCCGGGAGCCTTCACTTCCATTTTAAACTTCTACCGGACAGGGAAGCTCCACATGATGGAAGAAATGTGTGCTCTCTCTTTTGGACAAGAGCTTGATTATTGGGGGATTGATGAGATCTACTTAGAGTCCTGCTGTCAAGCCAGATACCATCAAAAGAAAGAACAAATGAATGAAGAACTGAGGCGAGAGGCAGAGACCATGCGAGAGCGAGAGGGAGAAGAGTTTGATAATACCTGCTGCCCTGAAAAAAGGAAGAAACTATGGGACTTGCTGGAGAAACCTAACTCATCTGTGGCTGCAAAGGTATGAAAAAACAAGGTGTTGCTTACCTGTGTGTGCTCGGAAAAGGTTATTTACATACCAGAGAGCATTTTCTTTCTTTTTTTTAAAATTTTTTTGGTAGGACAGAATAGCATGTGGTTACATATACAGTGAAAAGTCCTTTCCAAAATCTATTTAGTCAAATAGAGTTATTTTTTATGATAGCATTGTCTGTGGATACAGGCCTGGGCAGCAGAGCATGGGAGAGAACTCTGGTTTCCCTAGCAATGAACGGTATTGGTGACTTGAAGATTGAGGAGCAAGGCCTAGCTCCAATTTAGTGAATATAGAGGCTTGCAGAAGACTGGGATCTGGCTTCCCTCTTGAATAAAGACAAGGTAGTGTCCTTGGTAATGGACGAGGTGCCTTGGCTTAGTTCTGTGGTGGTTCAGAGAAAGAGTAGAATGAGGCCCAAGGGATCTCAGAGGGCTGGGAGCCACGTGCAGGAGGAAGGGGTTGTCTTATTAAGCTATGTAAAGAATGACCCAGTGTCCAGAAGGTACCCATTGGCCTCCCCATATTAGCTCTACTCTAGCCATGATGTTTCTGACAGTTGATGCCTAAGTTTTTCACATTTAAGATACTACCATATCTCAGAGTTCATAAAGTGTTGACTTAAAATGAAGGTAAATTCCTATTTTTCTATGGTGTTGCATGTAACTAAATCCCAGAGTAACTTTTTGTCACTGATTTCAGTATTTAATTCAGCTGCATGATTCTGTTTATCTCATTTTATCTAGAGCTACAAGGGTTAGTTCAAATCAATTTTCTTCCAATATATTTAGATCTGCATTGCAGTATGAATAAGTAAAAAGTTAAAGAGGTACTTTAACTGAAGAAGCACGGTATCACTGTTCAGTCTATCAGGGATAAAATGGAGTATGTCGTCATGCATTCTTTTGATTACTTATTCTTTTTTAAATATCGTCATTATATATAGTTATGGTTACAGAACTACAGTAGAGCCCATGAGGCTTTGGCTGGAGATTAAGAGTCTACGTGATAACCTGAAACACATAATGTAAATAATTAATTCAGGTAATCAAAAATCTGCTTCTTGAACTGTTTGATGTGTCTGGTTTTGTTTCTGGTTGACTTCTAATGGTTTACTTTCCAGCCAGGACATGCACCTAATTGATATAAAATGAATTTCTGTTATGCCTTTGAAGGGATCCATATTCTATGGCACATGGAACATTCCAACTAGGTTTGTTTTTTTTTATCATTATGAAAACCTGTTTACTGTCTCATGAATATGTGTTTACTTTTGTTTTACGTGTAAGAAAGAAATGGATGTGTCACATCTATGAGTTTGGGTTAAAAAAGGCTCTCTTTCCCATGTCAAACGTTTAGTTACATATTTGAGTTAGAGAATTTTGAAATTGAATGAGATAGACTGATTTTAAGTGAATATCGTGGATGTGAACTAAACTCTTTCAAGCTTTTAGGCAACTCGGAAATAAATCACTGCTCCAACCAAAGTTCCAGGGAAGTTATCCAACTATTAAAAATAAGCAACAAATTTCTTGAGAAGCAGCTATCCCTTAATCTCTTAAGAAGGTAATATTAAAATGTCCAGTTGCAATAGACCCTCATAGATCCCCATGCATCAGATTATTTAAGTTTGCCTCAAATTATGTATTTAGGTAGAGATAGGCTATCTGCCTGCAAACTATATCCAGCAGCTAAGGACACTGGTTTTTGGACAATTTTATGTAGTTACAAAAGTTCATTTGTTTCCAAGTTACTTATCAAGTTAAGTGCTTTGCTACCTTAGTAGATTCTTCAGCAAATCTTCATAAAGTATTTGTGTTTGTTTAACTAGGTATCTGTATTTCCCTTTGGATGGTGAAACGGTTATGGGAATTACTTACATTTGATTAGATGGAATGTTAGTGAAAGTATTGTTCACCTGCCTGAAGTTTAGAGACTTTTAAAAATAGCTCTGAGTGATGTCTTATATAAACTACTACCTTTTTTTTTCAAGTCATATAACTTGTTATTTTTCTGGAATAATCTTGGCGAGAGGTATGCTGTTGCATGTGTGAGTGTTCACAATCTAAGAGCAAGCACCTTATTACAACTGCAGTAGAATGACACCCGAGCAGTATTTATATTATAGATATGTAAGATTCCTGCGTATGCAGGGAAGGGTTTGTGTAGGAATGCTTGGAATCTGTATGTTCTTCCTTACTTGCTGAGGAGGTAAAATATCTTCGGGGGAGTGTATCCGCTTACCTTGTCTTTTCTATTTTTTCTTACTTGGTTTGATAATTCACTTGAAGATATGTTGTATGTGCCCTGCACACATTAAATACTTAACATTCCTTTCTCTCCAGAATTTAGAACAATGTTCTCTTTTCTTAAATAGGAATTTTATTTCATTGAAAATATTTGGTTTTTTAAAATTTATGATTTATAATTTCTGTACAATACGAGAAGCATAAAAGTTATAAGATTATTTGTTAAATTCCTAGTGTAGAAGAAGAACTTGACTCATTCTATCAGATAGTTCACAATAGGTTAAAATATCTATTCATGGGGCCAGCAGGTGGTGTGGTGGTTAAGGCGCTGGACTCCCTCATGGCTGACTGTGGTTTGTTTTAGGACCTGGCAGCTTGCTTTTTCTCTCTGTTTCTCCCTATCTGTTTCTATCCGGTCAAATACATAATAATAATACTAATTAATAAAATTAAATAATTCTTTAAAAATATATTACTTCAAATGGAAGAGTCAATGTATCAACTTAGAATTTTTTAAATTATATTTAACTTTATTTGTTTATTTATTTATTTAACCAGAGACAGAGTGAGAGAGAGAGAGAAAGTGAGAAAGCAAGCCTCCAGGTCCAGGACTCGAACCGTGGTTGGCCATGTGGGAGTCCAGCACCCTTAACCTCCACCACCTGCTGGCTTCTCAGCTTACAAATTTAATAATTGTTCAGTCCATGCTATGTGAATCTACTGTGACATACAAAATTATTGCAAGTTCATTGACCTGTCATATTTTGTCTTTGGGTATGATCCAGGCAATAACAATTTTACTTCCATAGACCATGCTCCCTGTGTCATGTAGGAGCCATTTCTATTAAATAAACTTTTTGGTATGTTAAAACTGAAAAAAATAATCACCAAATTAGGGTTTAAAAATATAGTATGTTTGAAATGTCTATATTTAACAAATTAACATATTTGTACATATACAATTGACTATGAAATATAATTGTACTTCTCACAAAATAATGACAGAACTAATAGAAATGGTTTATCCTAAGTTCTCTGGGGTTCAGTATGATCTGGTATAATAGGACGCAAGTTTATATCTGTGGATGGTCTTTATCTTTCAATCCCATCAGTGTATCTGGCGACTGTATATAACCTCATGTAGAAATAATGTAGAAAATGAGTCTCTTTGTGAATGTGTGGCCCAGTCAAATGGGCGCAGGAGATGGTGAGGACAGATCTGCGTTACCATGACATGGAACTGCTGGCCATGATATGCTTTTCACAGGAACATCCATGGAGAGGAGCTGGACTTAACGGGCTGCCAGTTTCCTGGGCAATGAATTGGAATTTGACTGAATCCTATACCTCTTCCACTCCAGGGCAATGTAGTCAGGCTCTGGATTAGAAACATTTGTCCCTTTACCTTGGGCTCTTCCCAAAGGAACTGCAGTAGCTTTTCACCTGTAAGTATTGCATACAGAGACTCCAGTCTAAGAGGTGTTTAGAACCTCCAAAGGGAAACTGGTCAAGGGAAACTGGTCCTGTGACATGTAATATTCTCAGCCTTGGGGATGAAACAACAATTACAAGCAGCACCGGCCTACCTGAGCCCTGGCAAAAGCTAGTGCCCCAGGGATATCTGAGGACAGTCAAGAACAAAGGAAAGCAACCCAGTCTTAGATAACCCCAGATAGGCTTGGCCCAGCCCTCTGAGGCAAGCCTCAGCCTGGGAACCTAACTGGGATGGTTTGCAGGATGGAGTAGACAACAGGGCAGGTTGGGTGTCAGGTCAGGAAGCTAGACTGTAAGCAGTCCTTATTGGTAAGAACAACGGAAGTCAGCCTTTGTCCAACACAGGCACTGAGGGTCACCCAGAGACTTTGGCAGGCTGGCTACAGGGCCAAGTGTGTTTTGTTATTACCTGCAACCTTCTTGCTTTCCTCGTCTGTCCACCTACCACTTCCTCTTAGGATTTTCTTTCCATTCTTCTCCTCCTATTCTCCCACCCTCCTCCCCTTCTTTTCTCTCACTCTCTCTGTTGTCCTCAGGAATGGCTATTTTAGCTTAAGGAAAGAGGAATGATTATTTAGAGAAATGTTTCTCAACTCTTCCTCATTTACAGGCTCCTAAGGAGAAAAATTAAGGTAAATTTAAATTCTCTCTAATGAAAAGAGAGAAACATAACATGAAGGAATAAGATGGAATACAGTTTTTTTCAGGTTGGATGGAGCTCAGAGAGCCCCAAATGATCATAATATCCAAGTTTTCACCCCTTCTACTAGAACCAGTTTTCTTTCTTTGGGGGTATTATTATTTTACGGAAACTGCATGGAATGGAAGGAAGGAGATGACTTTGTCCCCTGCCTCCTATGCATGCCCTCCATGCTTCCACATGTCCATCATTGCTGGCATGTCACACCATAGCACTAATTCAAAAATGGACAGGGCGCAAAGGCCTTAGTCATCCTTGGATCTGGAGGAGAAGGGCTGGTGGGGCAGAAGTGCAACAGCTGTGCCTGGGACTCCATCTTCCCGGAGAGCCAGGGGTCAGGGATCTGAGTTTCACTTGGCGCCCATGTGGTTGCCCAATTGATAACTCTTTAAGAAATTCTTCTAACTAAACTTGAGTGTAGGCATTTCAAGCCATGGGACTAGTAAAAAGGAAATAAGTCAAAATGAACCCAAGACTCCTATGCGCTCATCAAGGGGAAATAATGCATTATGTTCTCGTTGTATTTATAGTGTATGGATCCACTT